GGAAGAGAGAGACTATGGCATAAGGTTATAGCTAGCAGTCATGGTATGTTCGACTCCGGTTGCGATGTAGGTGTGACTCAACGGGCCATTTGCCTTTTTTAGCTTTGAGTCATTTGTTTCCAAAAATGTTTAAGGGCATATCCCTATCGAGTCTTCATTATGAGTCATGTGAACTTGCTAAACATTGTAGACAATCTTTTTCAGTGAGTAATAAAAGATATGTTTCTCCTTTCCATATTGTGCACTCTGATGTGTGGGGCCATATCATTTACCTGCTATGGGGGGCTACAAATATTTCATTCTTTTCATTGATGATTTCTCTCGTTACACATGGATTTACCTTCTGAAATCCCGGGATGAAGTACCAAATATTGTACAAAAGTTTCATCAACTTATACTTACCCGGTTTAACACTCGAATCAAAATATTCTGATCAGATAATGCAAAGGAATATTTTGAGAAGAATCCCTCCTCCTACTTTGATACCTTTGGAGTTATTCATCAGAGTTCCTATTCCTACACTCAACAAAATGGAATGGAGGAAAGGAAAAACAAACATGTGGTTGAGGTTGCGAGGAGACTTCTTTTTGCTTCCATATTCCTGTTAAATTTTGGAGTAATGTTGTTCTTACAGCTACATACTTGATAAACCGAATGCCTTCTTGGGTTCTGGGGTTTAAAACTCCCTTTAGCTTGCTTTTTCCAAATGAGCATCTGTTTTCTCTTCCTCTCAAAGTGTTTGGATGCACTTGCTATGTCCATGTGCACAGTCATCAAAGACATAAATTTGAGCCTAATGCCCACAAGTGTGCCTTTTTGGGATATGCCTCCACACAAAAAGGGTACTGCTGTTTTGATCCAGTTTGTGGCACTCGCTTTGTTTCTAGAGATGTCACATTTGCAGAGTCAGTCCCTTTCTTTGGTACTTCTCTTGAGGGGGAGCATTCAGACAAGTTGTTTGCATTGTCACCATCTGTACCTCTTCTAATTCCCATTGAATTTTCTATAGAGTCTTCTCCAGTTGAGTCACCTATCCCTGCTCCCCCTCCACCTACTCACCCCCTTCTTTTCCTTCCCATCCTATTATCCAGAGGTGGTACCAGAGACAAAGACTCAGAGACATGCAAGTTGTTTCCACGCCTTCATATGTGCCTCTTGCTCTTTCCATCACTACTGAAATAACAGGTCAGCCCTCTTCTACCACTTCGGAAACTTTCCTTGACCTTGATCTCCCTATTGCCCTTCGCAAAGGCAAACGGAAATGCACAGCTCATTGTAATTCCAAACACCTATCCTACAACCTCCTTTCCCCTTCCTACTATTCTTCAGATACTTTCCCTGACCTTGATCTCCCTATTGCCCTTTGCAAAGGCAAACGGAAATGCACAACTCATTGTAATTCCAAACACATGTCCTACAACCTCCTTCCCCCTTCCTACTATTCCTTCCTTGCCTCTGTTTCCACACATGTAACTCCCCGTTTGTCCTAGACGTCCTGTCCAAACCAGAATGGAGAGATGCTATGATGACTAAACTAGATGCTTTGCATATGAACAATACCTAGGAAATTGTGGATTTGCCTAAAGGAAAGGAACCGGATGGCTGTAAGTGGGTGTTCACTATTAAGTATCATTCTAATGGTACTGTTGAGAGATATAAGGCCCGCTTGGTTGCTAAAGGATATACTCAGATGTATGGTATTGACTACTTAGAAACTTTTGCCCCAATAGCCAAGATGACTTCAGTTCGAGTTTTACTATCTTTAGCTACTGCTTTTGACTAGCCACTTCATCGATTTGATGTAAAGAATGCATTTTTGAATGGGGACCTAAATGAAGAGGTCTATATGTATTTACCTCCAGGGGTGTACGGGAAGGAGATGCAAGGAAAGGTCTATAAACTGAAGAAGTCTCTTTATGGCCTTAAGTAGTCTCCTAGAGCTTGGTTTGACAGATTTCGGGCTGCTCTTGTTGCTTTTGGGTACACACAGACTTAATCGGGCCATACTTTGTTTGTTAAGAGGAGAGATTCCTTAGTGACCCTCCTGATTGTCTATGTTAATGATATTGTGGTTACAGGAAATGATACTCAGGAAGTTGTTCATCTCAAGAGTTTTCTTAACAGTGAGCTTGAAATTAAAGACTTGGGAGAACTCAGATATTTCTTGGGAAATTACTTTACCTTTGCATGACTCGGCAAATATTTCCTATGCAGTTAGTGTAATCAACCAGTTTTTGCATTCTCCAAGAGAAACACATTTAGCAGCTGCTGAGAAAGTTTTGTGCTATCTAAAAGGGACTCCAGGGAAAGGTATCTTGTTTGCTAAGCATCAACACATGAAGCTGGAAGCATAAACTAATGCTGACTAGGCCGGATGTATTGATGATAGGAGGTCTACTTCAGGTTACTGTGCTATGGTAGCAGGGAACATTGTATCATGGAGGAGTAAGAAACAGTCTATAGTGGCAAGATCTTCAACTGAAGCAGAATACAAGGCAATGGCACATGGAATTTCTGAACCTTTGTGGTTGATATCACTTTTAGATGAATAGGGTATAGACTGTGAGAAGCCAATGATGTTATATTGTGACAACCAGGCTGCTATCAACATTGCACACATTCTTGTTCAACATGACAGAACTAAACACATTGACGTTGACAGGCATTTTATACAAGAGAGTTACCTCAAGAGAAGTCTATCTACCATTTGCTGCTTCTGAAGAACAGTTGGCTGATGTTTTGATAAAAGGTGTTCCTTAAGGAAAGCTGGTTCATTATATAAGCAAGTTGGGCATGATGGATATCTATGCTCAGCTTGAGGGGGAGTGTAGAGAGATTGGGCCGAATGGGTCCTAGCCCATTAGTATCTTTCTTATTAGTTCTTTGATGTTATGTTTTCTTATTGGGCCTTTTCTATATGGGCCTTTAGCTCTTATTTGTGCTTTCTAAGTTTAGTGCTGATGTGGACACTTACTTAAGGGCCTCCTTGTAATTTATGTAACTTAGGTAAGTCTAATAAAAGATTAGAGTAGGGGAAAGACGAGACATTCAAACTCCTTTCTCCATTCTTCTCCAATCTTCCTCCTACTTGTTGTCTCCTTCTCTAATTTCTTTTGCTTCTACTGATTTTATTGGTTTGAATCACATCTCTAGTTTTGGGAGGATGTTTGGGTTGGTTCTCATTCCCTTAAGGATCTATTCCCTTCTTTGTACTCTGTCCTTGTATAAAGCGTTTAAAATAATATTCCTTGTACTCTACTTCACCCAAGGATCTACCCACTACAGATTGCTTCTTACTCCTCCATGACACAATATCCCATGCCACCATAGCACAATAACCTGAAGTGGATCTCCTATCATCAATACATCCAGCCTAGTCATCATCAGTGTACACTTCCAACTTCATATGTCCATGCTTAGCAAACAAGATACCCTTCCCTAGGGTCCCTTCATAGTTGCGAAATGTGTATCTCTAAGAGAATGCATGAACTGACTAATGACACTCACGGCATAGGAAATATCTAACCGAGTCATGCAAAGATATAACAACTTCCCAAGCAATCTCCGGAACACTCCCCTATCAGTCAACAGTTCACCATTAGTAGCTGAGAGCTTGTGATTTAAGTCTATAGGAGTGGAAGCTAATTTAGCACCCAGATTGCCAATTTCTGCAAGTAGATCAAGGACATATTGACGCTGAGAAATTAAGATACCACCTTAGAACGAGCAACTTCAATTCCCAAGAAATATCTTTGATCTCAAACTCAATGTTAAGAAACCTTTTGAGATTAACCACTTCCTGAGTGTTATCACCAATAACCATAATGTCATTAACATAAACAATCAAAAGGGTCACAAAGGAATCTCTCCTCTTAACAAATAGGGTATGATCAGACTGAGTCTATGTATAACCAAGGGTAACAAGGGCAGCCTAGAACCTCTCAAACTGGGCTCTAGGACATTGTTTGAGGCCATGAAGAGACTTCTTAAATTTACACACTTTCCCTTGCATTTCATTCCCATACACCCCTGGAGGTAAAGACAGATAAAGCTCTTCATGTAAGTCTCCAAT